GTTTTGATTAATAAGTGATTAGAGCTGCAGGTAAATTAGTTTCTTGATGACACATCAGTGCAAATATGGTTCAACACTTAGTTTATTCATATAGATAGTAGACGTTTTATTTTGTTCTTAAAACAAAGGACTCCTGATTGACCTCTGCTCATCAGATAATCAGTTTTTCTACAAGTCATTTTTCTTTTTCACGTCTTATTCCTTCGTTTTGCAGCCTGTAATGACATAAAAAATATTGTTAAAGGCAAAAAGTAACTTTAACAAAACGTCAGAATGTAGAGTATTTAGCAAATAACAGAACAGAGTAAATAATAACGGGGATTATGAGAAATAACGTGTGTTTGTAGAAACACGTCTTTATTTCCAGTACCGTATTTTCAGCCTGTAAGTCACAGTTTTTTGCATAATTTTCATGCCCTGCGACTTAAACACTGAAGCGACTTATTTATGTCTTTTATTCCCATATTTGGAACCAATTTTTGGCAGAGATGTGACCGTTTTAATTCATTCTGAATGAAAATATTGAACACTACCATTTTCAGCCGCTAGATGGCGCTCGAGTAGTATGGCATGCCGTTGTGTCATGTAATAGGTAAAAGTGGCTATTAATGATGCAATCTTCTTGCCATAGCCTGCCACCTTCGTCCAGCTCGCCTGGAGCAACCGTCAAATCAGCTTCATTTTGCTGCACCGCCTCAGTGAAATGCAGCTGATTTGACCAATAAAGTGCATTAATTAAGTAAAAGTTCAACTGAGACACACCTTTACTATAAAGTCGAGCAAACAAAAAATGTTTTAGGTGTTTATTTTGTTAAATTTTGAGAAATGTGCAGCATTCCTCCTTCCAGATTCCCTCCCTCTGCGCTCTCCCGGAGCACCGAGGCACAGAATACTTTTGAAATGCAGCTGATTTGACCGTCAAAGTGCATTTTATTAAGTAAAAGTTTAATTGAGACACACTTTTACTGTAAAGTCGAGCAAATAAATAATTGTTTTTAGGTGTTAATCTTGTTAAATTTCAAAGAAATGCACAGCGAGTCGCCCTCTGCGCTCCCGCTACTGCAAATCTATTCTTGAAATGCAGCTGATTTGACCGTCAAAGTGCATTTTATTAAATAAAGTTAGACTGAGACACACCTTTACTATAATGTTGAGCAAACAAACAATTGTTTTTAGGCGTTAATCTTGTTAAATTCTTGTTAAAGTCCTCCCGTGCATGCTCCTGCAGCCGCCATTTTGCAGCCAATCGATTTTTGTCGACGGTGATGCGTAACAAACGCGACGCGTCATCGGTGGCTCATAATAGATGCAACGTATTTTTGTTTTTTTCCTCTTTATTAGACATATTTGAACTGATGCGACTTATACCGCGGTGCCACGTGTACGGCAGAAAATATAGTATATTTGTAAAACCAGATTTTGTTCTAATGTTTACCTGTTCATTCTTGGATTGTTTAGGCTTTACTTTAACGTGCACAACTTGACTCAGTATCCAGATCTGATGGTTTTAGAGCGAATAAATCTGTGGGTCAGATTTTAATATGCCAGCAGGGATTATCAGCGCCCTGCCATGTGTGTTGCAACCATACATCTTGTTACCGGGAACATGTAGGAAAACATGGTGAGCCTGTGGCCTCCAGCAGTAATAAAAGGGATGCTCTTACAGCTCAAGAGCGCATAATTAAGTTTGTGCACCACACTGATGAGTGCAGCCATTTACATCGAAGGTAGGTGGGTGCGCTCGCTAAAACAGGGTCTCTCATGTCTCAATTTGGTCCCTTTGAATTCCACTTGGATCATGAACACGATACAGATCTGCAGCGCTTGTAAATGTGAAAATGATCAGGGCTGATAGGGATCTTAGAGGTTTTAGTGGCAACAGACAAAATTGTCTCTGGTGGGAATTCTGCAACTGTAAGATCAGACTCAGATTAGATGAAATTAAACACTCACAGTTAAAAATTGCATTAATATGATTTTATGGCGCTTTTTTTCTTTAATATGTGTATTCACAGGATGAATGGTGCACATTTAATTTGTATCTAATATGTAAATACTGGTTCTGTTTCATAATGTGAGCAGAAATGGGAGATTTGCACGAGTTACACCTGTTAGAAACACACAGTGAGACTCATTTACAGTACAGCAGGGGCGATGAAGGTGCCTCCCCCCCCCCCCCCCCCCAAAAAAAAGCCATATAAGAAACAAATAAATAAAGATCCTGTTTCAAGAAACGCCGCACAAAGCAGCTTGTTTGCAATATTGTTCAAGGCCTAGAGCGCAAAAACAAGATGCAATTTCAGCATTTGAAATGGGCAAGTTTAATTTTGAAATACGAGCAAACCAATAAGCTGAGAAAATGGTAAATACTTTGTAAAAGTGAAAAGACTTAAGGAACATCTAAAAGTAATCTCCAGCTGGAAATTAGAAATCAACCCTCAGAAACTGAATAACAGAAAAGAAATATTACTGTCCACTTTCTAAATCAATATAACATTGCTACAAGACAGTATTGCCATGGTAACACTGGTAAAGAATGAAGCAATTCTTATTATTTCAAAATAAATATCGGAGCCCGGAGCCCAGGTTTTATTACAGCAGCCGACAGATTGCCAGTCTGCATTCAGCTGAAGCATTGCTTTTCAATCACATGTTATGAAGGTACAAATTCCACCAGACAGGATGATAACGGGATCTTAAATTAACCAGCAAAGGTGACCAGAAATGCATCACGGGGTGGAGGTTTTTCCTTCTGCTCCATTCTATAAGGAACAAACTGTAGTGATGTTTATATTCAGCAAAAATATGCCTTCAGCACGGACCCACTTTCTTCTCCTCTAGTTAAGAGAGAAAACGGCTGAGTTGCTTTTTCTCCCCCCTTCTCAAATTAGACACAAATTGGAACCTTGTATCACAGAGTGAGGCAAAATGTTGACACAGAATATTTCAGTACATGTGTTGCTGTTCATTATCAACCATAACCTGCATATTAGGTCGTTTTAAAGAGCAGAGCACTCCTTTGTAGTTCTTGGTACGTTTTAAAAAGACAGTTTACATTTTGTACCCAACTTGTGGTGCGAAAGATGTGCAAAGTGCACGTTTATGCCCAACTAAAAGTAACGAATCCTCTTGATTCAAAAAGTTTCAAATATGATTCAAAGTTGTGAAGAGCGCCTGAACTGACAGCTGTGCTTTAGGAATGCTTATGTGCGATGCAGACTGGGACAAAGCATCACTTTTCTTTATGACTGTTTCACTTCAAATTGCTGCAGAGCTGTTTAAGAGACGTCAGTGTTCAAAAACAGTCCGTCAGTCAAGCAGCATCATTACACTGTAGCCAAGTTACACCGCAGGCACACAGCTGAAGATCTGCTTCAATGTCTGCTATAATATGTACATAACTTCGCTCCACCACATGTACCACATGAGGCGTGAATGACAATAAAGAAACTCTGATAATATCTGCTATCCAGACCACAAAGGGACTGAAATATAAACACTTTGGCTACCCGTGCAAACACACGCAGGTATAGGAGTAAATCGATGAAGAAAAATAGAGTGATCTCACACCTGTGTGGCACCCAAAACACAAACCCCAGACCTTTTCCCAGTGCCATATACAGTACTTCTGTTTGGGCACTTAGAGGCTACATTAGACAAGAATTGACAAGCCTATAACTTTAGAGCCAATAAACGCTAAGAGGGCACCACAGTGGAAGAGAGCAAGCCAAGCTGCTCTGACGACAACCTGGCCAAAATGCTGGAGCTGTGGAGTTGGGGCCCAGCAAATAAAGGGTGAAGCTTTTAGGCAATGAGCAGCAGGTGATCTCAGCGTTTCTGCAAGTCCTAATGCTCCTAAAAGCCTCTCTCCCTGCTTCTGTAATTGGGCATCAGTAGTTAATGTAGTATTGACTGCATTACATGCTCCTGTGCATCCTTTCCCACTAATGCCATTTGCATCACCTTGTACATTTACCATATTGCTTAGCCAATAACTGTTAAAAGCAATCTGAATCATGAATCATATGGGAAACTTTTAGCAAGATAGACATCTAAAGAAGGCAATTTACAGTTGAGTTAATTTGAGTACATTAGCACAACATGGCTGCAGCCAGGCAGACCAATTTATGTCTCCGCCTCAATCCTTTTACTGGTTTTAGATGTGTAAGTGTAAGGATGAACCACTAAGACAAATGAAACATCCATTTTCAATCGTAAATAATGGGTTGCAAATGCATCCATTACTTTTCATGTGAAGAGAGAGACCTGGCTGAACTTCAGGCTATACTGAGAAATAAAACGTCATATGGCGCATGCAGACTGTCACTGTGTGTATGCCAGCAGGTGGTCTACGTGCACTTAAAAAAAAGAACCAATACTTTCTTTTATACCACATAAAACATTTGGTCAGCCTGCATGTGGTGAGCATGATGAATGCAGTGCACATCTGAGCATCACTTTAATCCAAAATGGAACGTCATTAGAGGCGAGTTTGATTTTAATTAAAATTAATTAGATTGCCTCACCCATTAACCTAAATACATTGAAACAGATAAGTAATGCAAGCAGGCCTATTTTGACGGGAAGGGAGTGAACGTCGCAACGGCGCTATCCATAATTTGCAATCAAGTTAAAAGCTCTGCTGTCATCTCCCATCGCGTGATGTCAAAGGGCTGCGGCGCAACTTCAGACGCAAAAAGCACTTAGAGGAGGGAAGGAGCAGAGAGGAGCACCGCAGTCTCCTCACAACTCCGGCTTGTTACACACCAGCACGCAGCACACACGCACAAACACGCGACTCTTCCCGAACTGAGCTGCGGGGCAGCGCGTTGTGGGAGAACTCCGCGATGCAGCCGCGACGTTCTCTCCCAAACAATAAAAAAATCGGCGAATCCCGTCTGGAGGGAAGCCGATGAGCGCGCGGGGTCCAGGGGTGACAGGGAGCCCTGAAAGGTGGGGGATGTCAGCGTTTTCCTCTGGTTGTTGCGGTTTGTACTCACCCTCTTCCTTGTCCAACACCATCGTCCTGAGGAACGAGGAGTCCTTCCCCGGGCGGTCCGTCCTCGGCTCCAGCAGGGCTGCGCGCGTCGCTCTGCTCCTGGAAAGGGCTTTGAAACGCGCGGCTCACTAGCCTGCACCTCGACGGACACCCCTACCCCCCAAAAAAGACACCCCCCCCCCACTCCAACCCTGGAAAGATGGACTGTTTTCTGCACGTTTTGCCTCCCTCCTATTATCAAAAATAATTCACACGCGGAATGCGGCGACAAACACGACGAGCACCCCCCCTCCGGGCTGAACTGGGACGCAAATAAATCGCGATCGCGCCGCGTTTGTTGCCTTTGATGGATTCCATGCGAGAAAGAAGACGAGGGGTAAAAAATGTGTGGGGGTAGGAGGTGAAGCAAAAACAATAAAAAGCGGTTTAAATCTCTGCGGGTGAAGAGCGCACGCACGGCCGGACGAGACGCTCGAAGTGAGCGGCTGAGCTCTCCTCGCTCCTGCTCCTAATGCTCTCCCTGTCTCGCGCTCATCTGCTCCGAAACGGCAACTAAATTCAAACAAATCCAATTGCAAATCTGTCAAGTGCTAAGAGCAAAGTCGCGCCGCCTCTCCTCCTCTCGCCTCCAGTTTGTGCCGCGCTCGCGTCTCCGCCGCTGCTGAATAAATGCGCGCAGTTTCCAGAGACCCTCGGATTCCCCTGTTAATTAAATCAATTCATTATGCTCAGATCTGATTAGCAGCCCTTCCCCCCCTCTTTGAATCAATTATTCAATACACAAACATAATTGCTTGTGCCAGAGGTGTCTAAGTATTAGCTTATTTAACTCCAAGGACACTAATTACCCCTAGGGCACGGGAACTTTTCTCATTAATTCTGACAAAACACAAAAGCACAGCTAAGGGAAAGTGAGTGTGTGTGTGCGCGCGAGTGCGCGCGCGCGTACGAGGCTGCCTGCCAGTCTGGGCGTGCGCGATCGGGAGAGCGCGCGCACGCACGTGGGGTTGTATTGACGCGCGCGCACGCGCCGAGGCAGAGTGATGCTGCTCCATCCGTTCCTGGTAGACTTTGAGCAAACATAAAACGCGCTTGTTGTTGTTTTCTTCCTCTACTTCCTTTCCCTCTGCAGAATTGAGACCATCTAATTGCGGTTTATTTGGCTGTTAATTAGTGTCCAGACACAGTTATCATACAGGCTGCAGATAAACAGTGGGTTTCAAAAGAGAGGAGCACAACAGATGGGCCGCGGTTTTGATTAGTGGGTAGATAGAAGGTTCAGCTTCGAATCTGGTAATATAATTGTTGCCTGTTATTGCCAAGATGAAAGTGTTGCTGTTTCATGGTAGAGCCTTAAATAGCACCACTTTCGCTTGCCCTGCGGAGACTGTTAACCAATTAAGGGTGAGATCCAACAAAGATTAGCCATTTAGGAGAGTGGAGCGGAGAACAGCTACAATAATGCTGGTTTGTCATCAGCCAGCAGGCTGTCTGTGGTGTGAGCGTGCTCAGTCTGTCCCTGCCTTCTGTTACATTTTGCACCACATATTACATCCTTTAAGCTCATTATCCTCACTGATTCTCCGTAACCAAACAATTGTGATAAATAAAGTTATGAGTGCTCAAAATGTTCAAGACTTGCACAAACCTTTGTTTTTAGAACCACATCTGTGAACTAAATTTCACTAATAGGGTGAAGGTTAAAAATAGATTAGAACTCAGCATATGTGTGAGACTAGTTTGAGTCAAACCACACTGCAATGCTTTTATGGATTCTGTTTCAACTTCCCCGTATGAACTTTGCTGTTTAATAATGATCCTGTTCTGCATTTAAAATGAACATTTTACTGGTCCCTCTTAATTGATCTTATGCCACAAATGTAGCATTTAAAAGCTTGCTGCATGGTGCCCATACGGGTAATTTCAGTTCTCAAGGCAGCAGGCTGCGGTAAGATTGGGTTGGCCCTGAAATCAATGGTCTGATCCCTCTCCAGCCAGCTTTCTGGCTGACATGCTTGACTTTTCGTCTCCACGGTCACATGGATTGATGACTTATGACCAAGAATGTATGTCTGCTGACCTATAGAATTGAGTGAGTGACACATAATTAATTCAATCACACAGAAAATGGCAAAGAAAGGATGGAGAATGGTTTGATATCATCAGGGCTCTACTTCAAAAAGCCATTTAACATTTGAAAGTGGAAACCGTTCAATGGGGGCCTGTAAATTGGGTTTGTTTGAGGAGCTGGGAATTTACAACAATGACATCTCTGGTAAATCACGTGCTGCACAAAATCCGTTAAAGTCAACATGTCATCAACATGTCACCTGTATTTATATTGCTGTCGTGCATGCCAAAGTTTTAAACTAAGTTAATGTGCTGTCTGTTAGCATTCAGAGTGTGTGTTGAGAATAAGTCTCAGCTACTACCACACCAAATTTGAGCTGAATATCAGTAAAACTGACAGAGTTATAGCCACTTTTGTGTTTACTGACGTTGATTATCTGCGGTGGCCATATTGAGCTGGTAGACTCAGTTGTAGATGTACATTTAATAAATACTTTCTGGGAGTCTCAGTAAAATCCATCATTTTGTTTAGATATTTTGCTAACAGAAAGAAATTTAACACGATTATATTATGACCCTCCTTTTATATTTGTGTGAATATGAACAAGTTTTGGTGGCTCTTAATAAAGAACTTATCAACACACATGAGCCGTGTGTAAAGTCACAGCTTGTTGTGTTTTTGTGGGTCAGGATGTACATCTAAGCCCCCTCAAAGTGTCTTGGGTGCACACCCTTTCCCACTCCACATCCAACACCTGGGTCAGTGAATACTAGAAACAAGCCCCTGAGCGGGCCTTTCTGATTCACAGTTAATTAGAATTCATTTCTGAGCATGCATTAGCCATGGCCATCTATTTATGGGCGGCTCTCAAATGCAGCCACTACAAAACAGTGCACTGTAATTAACCCCACCTAATCAGATAGCACACTTGTGTTGTGTTCCTGTTCGTCCTCAGGCGCACAGCCGTTGGACGGGGGTTTCAGGGAGACGATGAGCCCATTCTATGGTTCAGAATGGCTAAGCAGATTAAAACCTCATATCAAACATGATATTTACAGGCAAGCCTCGATGGAGAGTGCTCCTTTTATGTGAAATGGGGGAGAGGCTTCAGGGCTGGGCTTTAAAAGCCATGTCCCTTAATTGTATTCTGCCTAAGTGGGATGAATGATGCTTTTTAATCAGACTACTGATGTGGCCGCATGTTGTAAAAATCTAGAGGTGGTGCCTGATGGTTAAGATGTCCAGGCCTTCCAGGTTCCACCTACGTTCACGTGCATTTTAGTCCCATTCGGACACCTGTGAACATTTGCTTCTTCAAAGAAAGCCACTGTACAAAACATTTTACACATGTGTACCTATAGAAGCGGTCACATATGCAGCTTCAAGTCAGACATGTGGCTGTTCTTTGTGATTTTATGTTTAAATCCCATAAAGAAAAATGGTTTCATGCAACAGACAACAAACTTAAGGATCTGCTCCTCCTAGTGGTTGAACTTGGCTACGTTTCCCCTTCCAGATGTACACAAATGGCTTTGATAGAAGCGGTTTAACACATCACATATTAAATTGTAACCACTTTTCATTCTCTTCATGGAGCGCCTCGCCGGGTGGGTGGAAAATAAGAATCATCGCAATCTTTTTGATGTGACCTGACAGGCTCAGCGTATAGAAAGTAATAAAACCAGTTTAAGCCCTGCTGTTCACCTAGTCAATTTGAATTTCATGACCAATCAAATGTAGACAAGGTGTCACTTGGTGGGTAGGGAAGAGGGGAGAGTGAATCCCTTTCCCAAATAGCTAATCCAACTTTAATCCTAGTCATTAGGAATTAGACATGCCGAGCTGTCCGGCCGTGCCTCTAAATTACAATCAAACGGTTACCAATTACACAAATTATTGATGGTAGATTCTCTTTTCAACTGCAAATTAAGGCTATTAAGGAAGGCTCCTTTTTAATGCAAAAGTGACTAATTAACCAGCGGATAGAAAATCTGCTGCCCAGATATCAAAAAGTTCTCAGCACACATTGCAGAAACACAAGGGAACCAATTAGTTTAATTATCAAAACAGCTAATTAAAATTGCACAGTTCCTAATTAGTTCTTTGCTTTTGCCTCTAATTGACAGCATGGAGATAAATGGGCTGCCGATGAAAATGGGGAGAGGAGAAAAACAGGAGAAACTTCGGCAGAATATTTATGCTGACTTTATCTCCGTCTGTGTGGCAGCCCTTGAAAGTGGAAAATTAATGACCTTAATTCCCAAACTGTTTTTCCTCTAACGGTGCTCCCCTCCGCGCTCCTGGTGCATGCTCCTTTGTATAGGCCTGCCACCCTGCCAACTGCTGGAATGGGAAAAAGGGGGTACTTGGGGGTGGGAAGGAGCCACGATTCCCCTCCTAATGTGACAGCTCCCACCTAACAATGGAGAAAGATGAAAGAATGGAGCAGATGTAACCACTGGGAGGGTTGCATCATGGGACTGCAACTCTGGCGCACTGCTTTTTAGTTTTATTTATTTTATAAAAAGCACTTCTATCATCTACAGGGACAGAAATTTGTCCCATGAAAAGATGAAACTCTGCTGGGACAGAGATAAAAAGACATTTAATGTCCCAGAAACACTTTAAGGTTTTTGATTTGAATTTTAAATTGATTAAATTTCAAGTCAGCTGCATTTGAATCACGTCACGAACATGGATTTCGTTGATGTTGGTGTAAAGACTGAAAACGCATCAACTGTTGTATCCCCCAGATTTATTGTCACGGTTCTCTCTCCTTATTGGCATTATATTTTTAAAGGTCCTTGAAAATAAAGAAGAAAAATGGATCCTGTTTGAGGGAATTGCAACACTACCAAACCTAAACGACAACCATTTACCTCAAAAGATTTTGTGCTGGAGACTCTTTTACGTGTGCACGGTCTCTCTCTGCTGTCTGTCCTTCTGGCAGGCATCATTTCTTTGTCTATGTTCCTGCAAGGCCAACCTTGTCATGTGTAATCCTGTCCCCCTCTCTGGATGCAAGTAACATGTGGGTCCTCTTGGCACATTAGCAGATAAC